CGTGTAGTTACATTTCTGAGGAGGCGAGGTGAGCTTCTGACTGAGGCTTTTTCAACTGTTACTGGAGCAGAAAAAACCTTAAATGTGCTAGAACAAATGTTTTTTATTACTCTCATCTCATCTTTGCATGCAGCTCTATTTTCTTCATGTAAGATTTGAATTAAAATCAAGCAGATGAACAGTCGTGAGAATATGGGACGCCATCTGCACTGCCAAAATACAGGACCACTTTACATTCACATGCTGCAGCTATCACACCTTCCCCTTAGCAAGGAACACACAAACTAACTTCCTGCGTCTTTCATCCTTGTAGCCACAGTCTGGTGACTAAGCCCTGCAGGGGAGCTCACATACATACAGGTATCAACAACAAACTAGCTGACAGGTGGGCACAGAGCAGCACAGAAGAGAAGAAAAAGTCTTTCTGTATTGTGTCTTTATATCTGTAAAAAAAAAAAAGAAACTGTTTAGAGTTTAACTGAGAAAAGAGACACGGTTTTTCATTCACAACTAAAAATCATTCATGTGTTCGCATTGCAGCAGGTAAACACATCTTTGATATGTAGCTGGCTTTCAGTCACTGAAGTGGTCGTGTACTGCAAACCATACAAAAAGTAGAGCGTGTCCGCCCCCAACCAGGCCAGTTATTGTGGTGAGGATATTAAATTAGACACTGCCACCACCTCAGGGTGATGTCCACTTAATTCAATCTATTGTGGCTCTTTGTCTGCCTGGTGACATTTTATTGGAGCATTACCAGCGCTCCCACTGGGCCTGTAAACCGACATAACTTCACAATGAGCATTCACACTCGCTCTTCCCCGTCTGTCCTCGTCTTCTCACTTCACACTTCTGTCCTCGCAATCTGAATATGCCACGGATCAAATGGGAGCTTGTAAAGGAATAGTTCCATACACTGTCTGTGTTAAAAGAATGGAGCTGGTGTAAGGAAGTAGTTCACCTAAAAATATACAACGATAATTCACCTGGTTGTTGTTTTTTACATGTCTCTTTAAGTATATGTTAAACAAGATAGAACATGTTAATTG